CAAAGGATATGGGAACACTAGGTGAGAAGCAACCTGCTAAGTCGAACGGGCCATGTCTGATCAAACTCAGTGGTGGGAGTTTAAGTTCCACAGCCACCACAAGCGGTGAGGACCTGGCAGCAACCACGAGCTAGGGTGAAGAAGCTGCGAGTAATGGCTGAACAACATTCTCTCACGCAGCAGATCACCACTGTAATACGCGGGGACCCGTCCCTATTCGTCGATGAAAGGGACGATTTGTACGTGCTTCCAACGTAGGGGAGTGTGAGACGTGCTCACCAGAAAACACCTGCAGGAACAGCGAACCAATATCGGGGAGCTGAGCCGACTGCAGGATGCTGAGTCTCGCCCCGAAGGGGCACACTCACACGAACTCCAATCATGGAGGAGCGGCAGCGGGCCAAACACATTGCTCGATGCTTAAAGAGGCCTGTAAGATGAGACTCACTCACCAGAGAGATCCCTGCACGACAGCTGCACTAAGGTGTCCCAAGCTTTGAGCTGCCCCAGCAGCCCCGCTAATGCCAAACTCAGCGATGCTCTCAGAGGCAGAAGTGGAGTGTAGGGGCCAGTGATGCTTGAAGCTTGATGAAGGCCCACAGGGAGAGGAATGCTCTATGTGCCTATCGGCACACCAAGGTCTGTTACGGTGTGCCAAGTTTTGAGTTGCCCAAGTGGCCCCTAGTGTGACAGACTTTTAGAGGTTTGGTCGAAAATTTATTTAAGTGAAGATGGAAATAATTACCCCTAAATGAAAAGCTTGAGTCTCGACCTTCTCCAGCCGCTTCTTGACTCGGCAAAATTGTCATAGATAAATATTTACAAGAATAAATACTACAAAGAAAATGTGTCCTTCCGCAGGGATATTCAACTTAAAGAGCAAACCCTGCCAAGCCAGATCCTATCTCCACATCCAGACACAAGTGGAACAAAAAAATGGCTATAGACAAGAAAATAATATAAAATCAGTGCTCTGGAATATGTAATTACCGAGCAAAAAAATGGCTGCTTGTTGAATTCTGTAGTGGACCAGTGGCTTCTTGAAGCTTTGCTGCACAGCGAAGGAGTGAGAGGAAGCTGCATGCACTGAAGCTTCCCATACTGTTTACTGGAATGGAGTGCCCCGCCCTGTCCACTGAATTTAATTATCCAGGCGGTAGATCTGAACAATGAGGGGATTGTCAAGAAAAAAACCAGGGCAGGACTGTTGAAAGCTGTTCTGGAATTCACTACAGATTAATCTCACTTCCAAAGGCAGTAGCGGAGTGAGATCGGACTGGAGATACCAGATCTCAGGGCCCGAGGGCACACAGCATACACACTGTTAGTACCAGAGACCACACCAGTGCTGCTGCTATGAGTTTGCGAATATCACTCAATGCTCGAAAAGTGAACTTGTATGCTCGACAGTACAATACTAAAGCAAGTAAGGGTATCGCACGGCCGTACCCCGGACAAGCCAACAGGAGGGAATAGTTATTACCACGCACTGTCCAATTCCCTAGCTTAGCAAGGACCAAAACCAACACATCGCTGTCCTTTAATTAAGTCATCCCTGGGTGAAGAGTAACTCGAACTTCCCTCAGGTTTTCGATCATCTAATACACAGAATACCCAGAGAGAAATCAAAATATCCAGCAATCATGAAAAACCAACAAGCAAATATGAGAAACATCAAGAAACCAAAAATGCCGAAATACCTGGCGATATGAAAAATCAATAAGCAAAATATCCGAGAATATACTTATCAAATTATGAACAAGAAATGCCACAACTAGGGCGAATCATACAATATATACAAACAAGCAGAATACATAGACACACGTACTGAATATATTCTGAAGTAACAGAAATATATTTATCCACAAACAATAGCACCACTTGGTGAACTCTGAAAATAGGTTAATACAACGTCAGTCTGCCACCTGCTCAAGACTGAAAAAGAAACGGTGAAATATCCAGGAATAAAATGAAAACAGGAACGATCAGATCACAAGAGTCGTAACAAATAAACAAATAGGTTATTGAGGAATAACACCGAAACACTCCCAAAACTTCCGAGCCGGAGTAACGTCATGGTGCTAAGAAAACGAGGATGAACATGGCCGACGCCTTCAAGGGGGTGGGGGGGTTGAGTGGGATGTGCTATTGATGATCGAGAATTTAGCAAATGGAAGTAATGGGCTAGGAAATAATGCATAGGTATTGGTTATCTTCATAGGATGCAGGCAGTAGACTCAATAATTTGTTGGTAATCATGTGTAAACATTGCTTTCATGATTGACTTTGGACGGTAAGTTTTACACTGTACTGGTACTGCGTTCCCTTAAATTATTTCTTAACCTTAAATGCTCACCAACTTGTTTCTGTTTTATACAGACCGGTACTAATATTATGAACTGCTTATAAAAGTTTCTGGAAAGCTACGCATAGTTTTTGGCTGTTGCTATCATAACTTTTAGATGTTGTTGCTGTGGAACTTTCTGGAGAATGGCATTCTTAATCATGTGAAGAGAAACTTCTGAGAAAATTTCTGTGAAGAGAACCATAATTACTATAATGTTCATTTTGTTGAAACAGGTATTTCTCTAGGAACTTGGCCCCCTCTTTTGGCTGATAATTTTGGCTGATTTGGCTGCTAACAAGAGCCATTTTGTACTGATAGATCCTTTGAGTAAATACATGTAGCATGTGCCATAAAGTTAGAGCACAACATGGGGGAGCGTCAAGCATAACCAGGCAGTGAGTCATCTTTGGACCAGAGATAAGGATAGGCTCGGTGCTGATTTAGGTGATGGAATCAATTTTGTCTATGATGAAGTGAGTCAGAATCAATATTTTTATCGAAACCAGAATCAATTTTCAGTCAGGTGTATGAGGTAGTTGACTTTGAGCAAAATGCACTTAGAAATCACAGATAGACATATAAGTCTGTAGAAGAAGCCTCATGTGTATTTAGCTGATCAATCTATTTAATTTTCTATTAGAATAATAGTTTTCTGACTGAGTTACTAATTTCTTTTTCATTTATTGGCAATCTTGTTTTATGGATTCTGATCCAAGACTTTGATGAGTGAACACTGACCACCACACCACACTCAACAAGTGTCCATTTGTCTTCATTTTGGCAGTTTCATTCACCTTTAATGTACACCCTGCACAGGCTAGTCAAGTGGACTTCAGGGGTGCAACACATATATTACACATACATTTGTATAAGACTGTTCCAGTGAAATCTATGAACACAGTATAACAAAACCTGCCTGCAGTGACATGGTCCATGGCTTTTTTACACCCTCGGGGGAAAATGGCATCCTCGGCTTCACCTTCAGTGCCAGATGCCCCCTTAGGTGTACAAAACACCATGGACCCCTACGCCACAGGCAACAATTAACAATTGCCCCCTCAGGTGTACAAAACACCATGGACTCCTACACCGCAGGCAACAATTAATAATTGCCCCCGAGGGTGTACAAAACCCATGGACCCTGTCACTGAAGGCTGCAATTGTTTTGTTATAAATGTACCATGGTCATAGATTTCACTGGAATGATTTTATGCAAGGTAAATTAAAAAACTTTGACAAACTGAAACAGTTAATTAGATATTAAATTTTAAGGAAAATTTTTGATTGTAATGTCCTGTATCTCTTTTTTTGGAGATCTAGGATTTATTACAAACTTGCTTAACAGAAACCTGGGGTCCATAAAGCACTGGGGGTTTATTGACTGGTTGAATTTCAAGAATTATTTACACCAAATAATGTTGAAAAGTACTGACAAGATTGAAGAACAGACGAAAAGAGACAATGGCATGAGCGTTTTGTATAAACAGCAATGGTGATTCGGATTGCAGAAACTGTGATCAGAGCATACTCGTGTTCCAAGAGCGTATGTACATGTACATGTATAGCTGGGAGCACAAACAGAAGGCTAACAACCCAGGGGTTCCATCATGGTGAGAGTGAAGAGAGTAGCACATGCAGACACAGTGCTTCAATGTCCCCCACACAGAGCATATCTCAGACAATAATTGGTGCGTTCTAGTACCATCGCGGCTATCCACCCTTGTACCCAAGATTACACAATTACAATACAGTAGACACGACACATCATGAAAGATCAATGTTATCCACCATTTTTTGCAGCCCGGCAACATCAACAGTGCGCACGACACATGAATGATACATGTGCACTTGTAGCACACATCACATCAGTTCACGACCAATAAAAATTGACAATCTACACGTATGACTGCGGTACAACTATTGTTAAATGGATTTTGTACAATTTTTATATATAAAATTCCATGAAAATTCCACGTGAAACGATTCTTAAGTTGTTTTCACTCTGTTCTGCTTCACTTGTATCAGGCTGTTTAGGCCCTTTTTTTTTCTTTCTAGTCTTTTTTTTCTTTCTGTCTCTATATTTCAGAATAAAGGTGCTATATTCTTTTCCTGACAAAAATTCAAGTTAGGAATTCTGTCTGCCAAGACGCATGACATGTTGTCATTTTGGCAACAACCCACATGGCAATGTAGTTGTCTTGTCATTCATTTTGACTATTTATTCCATGAAGATCAAAAGGGACCAATTTATTACATGTTAAATACTGCAATCCAGGTCCAGAATGTTGGCTGTAACTGGATGTGTAGTGAACAATGTTGTAAAATAAAATAAACTTGTTCTGGTTCAGAGGTAAGCTTCCTTAGTGAAAAGTTAATTTGACTTGGTGGAGCTTTTCAAGTGCATAGGTTACACAGGATTGTTATGTGATGTACAAACAACGTCTAACTTGGATAGAGGTTTCTTTAGTATAGAGAGCCTTTTAGATGCAGTGCAGAATTGATAGTCTTCTGCTATTCAAAAATAGGTGTGATTAACCCTGCACAGCTTGATCAGGCTTGTCTAATGATATTTAGTCAAGTAAGGTAAAAGAGAGTTATTAAAAGGTAATTGTTCCCTCAAGCCCTGCATTAGAAATAGATACAATTCACTTACTGCTTGATATGTCATGACAAGCTGGACAGCTGGCAAAGCATAGAATACAGCAATAGTCAAGATATTCCAGTAGTACAGCTTGTACTTGCGATCCAAGGTTTTGGGTTTCTTACGAGCAAGATCACCCACACAAATGGCTGTCTGCAGTTAAATCATATCGAATCAAAATAACTGGATGAGCAGGCAAGTTTTGTAACACTTTTTGATTAAGATATCAGTGCACTGATAAAGAACAAGTCTAATGGTCGACAACACAAATTTTCTTCATGCATCCATTCAGACCAACATTTAAGCACTAGTCAAATTACATTCCTATGTTTATGTTATGCTGTAACCTCACTAGCGGAAGGTTTGCAGCTGGTGTGCACTGAAAGAGATCCTCTAAATGTATGGCTTCCTTGTGCAGAATTAAAGTAACCATTTCAAGAGACATTACAAGTTTTGGATCACATTTCAAAATAAAAAAATTAAAATCAATCAATTTTCTATTATTTTGTGACCAAACCCATGTTCAGACTTCATGATTTCACTTTCTTTCATCCAGAAGTTGATCTGAGTTTTGGCTCAAATTGACAGTTAACAATGCTGCAGGCACAACAGTTGCCCCGATTGAAAAGCTGAAGTGACATTTTATTCTTACAGCTTTCCTTCGTCAAGATCCTGAAGAATACTAAATAAGTCTGCAGTCCTACAGGAAATATTCTTGGCAGCTCAGGGACCAAATCCACCTTTCTACCTTTCGACACACGTTTGAAATTGGCATCAATTGTGACAGTTGTTGATAATCTTTTGTGTAACCTTATTCTGAGGCAAAAACTTTACGTCCTGTATCTCTCAGTGACATTTCAGGGATCGCTGCATATCATTATTATATGATAAAATTTTCTGAAATCAGGGACAAAAACTTCCCGACAGTGCTCATTTGTGACTTGTTTTTAGCATAAATAGGAAATCGGTGGTAAACTCATCTACTGATTCAGAAAATCTGTTGCAAAGCAGAAATTGAAAAAAATTCTTTTCTGGTGCCTTTTAATCAGTGTATACCTTAGTTCTGTAGATTTCCTTTTCTTCATTCACATCCTCCAACATATCAATGTCATCTTCATCAAGATCAGCCTCGTGTTCTGGTATTTGACTCAGAGGATGACTTCTCATTTCTGAATTTCCAGAAACATCACCTATGAGTAAGCAAACAAGTAGTTACAATTCATTCAAGTGAAAGTTTTTACAATGAACTTAAGTCATGGATTTCACTGGATTTCACATGGATCTCAAAAGTGATACCACTTTTTTCTGAAAGCCTATACCGAGAATTCCAGCCTCGCTTGGCCACGAAGGCCGCCTGCCAAACCAGAGATTCTTGGTTTGTGGCCCTGGGTGCTCTGCATGCTTTGATTTACACAGTAAAACGCTGATTGTTCGGTGGCATGCGGCTCTATTCACGCTTCCACATTCCCGTTGCCTCTTTTCAAAGCGGGGACAATTGTGAAGCTGGTGATTATGATGCAAATATGGCCTTTTCATTTCTTGGCAACACACAAAGGCCAATCACCATATATACAAGAGCCAGGGTATGCCTTCTTTCATCGTGTTCGCTCGAGCGTGGGCAGAAAATAATAGCTGAAAAGCGGGCTGAGGGATCTCAATTTTTACGGCGGCTCTTACCGCTTCCCTGTGTGAAGGGGTTAACAGAATTTACTGTTTTGGGGGTAGCTGTTTAATTTTCTACATAAAAGCAGACGCCCAATCCAAGAAATTTAAGGCATGACATTCTCTTGTCAACTTGACTATGCCACCAGGAACACTGACGGGCATACTTAAACTTAGGATGGTTCAATAACAAATTTTAATTCATCACCTTTATTATCAGCAAACCTGGCTCTAATCAGTTTCAAGCCGGGTACAGTTTGGAGATCTTCTTTGGAAGGGGAGTTCATGCTGGGAGTCATGGTTGGGTAAACAAGGTTGGGTATTGGAAGTTCAGTGGCAGAGGGGACTTCAGACTGAGAGTTGGGGTTGAGTAACTGCATTAGTTACTGCGGATTGAGTGGGGGACAGGACTTCAGACTGAGAGTTGGGGTTGGGTTTGCTTTAGTTTTTCTGAATCCAAGGTTTTGTTGTTACCTGCTGTACCATATTTTGAAGAGCCTGCAGTTTGGTTTTGTGCAAAAGGAATGCTGTTTCTGTTTTCTTCTTCACCTGAAAATTATCATCAAAACGTATCACTCAAATCAAATAATTAGTAAGTAGTAAGAATTATTTATTTTGTCACCATGCATGTATTCATGTATATATGAACAAGTTTTTATTATAGACACTTGCATCCACAAATACCCTCACTTGCTAAGGAACTACATGGATTTCTCTCCAAGGCAAATGAGAAGTATTAGTCTTCGACATACAGATATTATTAAATCTACTTCACCGGCAACTTGGACCAACTTTGTCAAATGTACCTCACAAAAACCAGAGATTTTGGAGACTGAATTGAAAGCTACCATTTAATAATAATAATAATAAAGTAATAAAGCAAATATATCTTGTTTCTAATAATTTTACAGTACAAATGCTGATGAGGATCGGAGAAAAATTGTTACATGTGAATGGTTTCTATTTGCATATATGCAAGTTGATAATGGGAAGGCTTGACATCAACATGTAGTGATTAGTTAATATTTAAATGTGTTTACCCACACGTTATTGAGTCACCTCACTTTAATAACAAATCGATGATGCCAGACCTGGTAAGATTGGTTACAAGTGAACCACTTGTTTGGCCGACTTGGTACACAAATATCCAAGGTAAAATCTAAAAATTCTATTGCATAATTAGCACTGTGTTAAGCACATTTACATGAAACCAGTTTTACTGTATCAATGGCACTGGTACTTAATTCTCATACAAGTACATGTACATGCTGCAGCTGCTATATTAACCCATATTCATAAATAGTGTACATGTACCTGGGTCAGTTTTTCTATTAATATTGGTCAAAATGCGTCATGTGACTGTACATTAGCATTTGATAATGCCCATCAAGAAGTGGTAATGCCCACTGTGCAAATCATGCACTGGCACATCGATACAAGACAGTTTAATCAAGTATAATACGGGTCATTCACAATAGTCTCCACGAGTTTGCAACGTGTTGACCAATCACAGTGCATGAAATCTGTTGACCCTTTCCAAACACGCATGTCAACAGAGTTTGTGCACTGTGATTGGACAACGTGTTGCAAACCCTCAGAGGCGCAGTATTGTGAAACGCCAATATTGGTCAGGAGTCTGTGTGTGCGAGATGCACAGTGTGCGCCAAGCTTATCTTAAAAGATTCTATTGGAAAACTTTCAAAAGGAATATACCATAAAATGTACTGGGGGTGTTCGGGACAATGAAAGTAAAATTTTGGAACAAAATCATTGAAAATCCATCCCACGTTGACTTCTTTGACTTTCTGAATCAAAAAGTATTTATGAAAGGGAATAAACATATAACAATTAAGACTGGTTCAAGAGACTAAACACTGATAATGCCTATACCTGTGGCTGGGGCATTAGTCACGTCTATTCTTGTCGGTCTTAAATGCACATTTAAGACGGTCAAGCACATATACTTGCCCTTAGCAGAATATTGATGAATGAAGAGGTGGTTTGGAATTGTGCTTAATAAATAACGTCATTCTGTTACCAACCTTAACAGCACTTGCAATCACACTTAAAAGTATTTTTGAAACAATAATTAAAACGCAATCTAAAATCGGGGCTAGAAAAACATGTACATGTAGTACATGCACATGTATGTACACGTATATAATTTTTTTTTGTATTTTGTTTGCACAAGTATTTCCAAATCACCACTTTTAAGGTGTGTCAAAATGTTACAGTAGAAATGTCCCAAGGGACTCATCCTTTACAACACCACATGCATGTATATAAGGTCAAATTCACAATTTCTTCGTACTTTTTGTGTTTAAAGTAATGGAATTGGATCCCAGATGATCAATTTGAATGCCACTTTGAATATCAATATTCTTATATATGTATTTATTGTCACACAGCAGTTGAATGTGTGCTAAATGCAAATTTAAATACATGCATTAAAGTCAAAACACCTGTGGTTTTAAATAGACAACAAAAGGATACTCAAAATCTACTTCAAACTTCTTACTACATGTACTAACTGGAGAAACATGCGTCAAACAAAGATTAAATGTAAGAGAGCCTTATACTTCAAACCCTTGAGCAGTCTTTCTCACTAATACACAGTTTTATTTGCTTTGGAAAAGAATCTTAAAATCAAATCAAAGTTTTATTTCAAACAGTAAATAACAGTTTCAATGTACGACTCCTATAACCATTGTAATATCATACAAGGCACACGCAGGTGTATCTCTCAGTAATGGTAGAAATATTGTGCCAAATATGTAAGAAAATCACAAGGGGAAAGTTATTTGTTCCAACAAATAGCTAGTATGTGCATTTGCCTATAGAAGGAAAGGAGGTCTATTCATGCGTAGGCTTCCACGGTGTGTCATGTGGACATGGTATCCCCCAGTAATGGTAGACATATTGTGCCAAATATTGTGCAATGAAATATGCCAGCATGTCAGACACTTGTTTTAACACCAAATGATATTCACAATGTAGCATTTTTACATTGCCTACCTGATCTTGATTACATACCTAATATACGGACTGAGCATGCGTTGACAACATCATACATTGGCAGATGAGAGGGTGATGGTCATGAGGGTTATGAAGGAAGTAGGTCACATCACAGCAAGCAGAAGTCAATTATGCAAACAATCACACCACCACAAAACAAATGCATGTCAGATTAGGCATGTGAAAAGAATCACTGGGAAAAAATTATAAGATAAATGTAACAAGACGCCTTGGAGAGAATATATGAGAGCACTCATTAACCACTAAAGTGAATGGACATTTCATCCCCTTCTTACTACATTGAAGGGTTTTATGCATAGCAATTTTTCATTACAGTTCATTGCCAATTAACATAAGATTTTCTTACCCGAAAACGATGCTGGGGGATGGGTTTTATTTTCCCGCATATTCTTCAATGTTGCAATAAATCTATGATGCCCATTAAGCTCTATGGGGAGGCACAGCTCTTGAGTTTAGGCATCAGTATTTTCATTCTTTATCCTTTTTTTTCGAACTGTCCTGGTAAATATTGTGGCACATGTCCACATGTCAACCAGTTCAAATACAAAAGGTCCATAGTGTATAAAGGCGTCACTGGTGGCCATGTGTGTTGTTTGCCAATTGTTTCCATACAAAGGAGTTGCTAGTTGGTTTTGCTCTGTAGCAAATCGGTGTACCCAAACAAAGGATGTCTTTAATCCCCTTAGCTCTTTTGCCTATGGTGTGGGCTTCCCAATTCGATTCTAATTACTTGAAAAAGGCATTTCAGTTTTATTGTTGGTTGGGGTTTGTCCACTTAGTAGCAGCTTTCACATATAGGATCGTCTTCTGCGCTTTAACCCAGCCAAGCACAGTGCTAGTACGTCAACTCAGAAATGAAAAAGATTTTGAAATAAGTGTACACATCCTCCTTGGAACAAATAAGAAAAACCGTGTCATTACACGTCATGTGACATCAAGTGGTTAACGCATCTTTAACCCCAACACTCCTCAATCCTTCACCTGTTGGAGGATTGAGGACTGTTAGGGTAAAGTCAACCTTATGACAAATTTTTGTTTTACTAGTTTAAAGGTATTTTGGTGCCTTTGGGTGACCAAAACTGTCAGTCAAGGGAAAAACATCAATGTTTCATAGATTTTTTGCATAAAATAGTGCTAGAAGTTTTTAACATTCCGCAGTTCTGAACTTCCCTTTTCTTGTCTTCATTTTTTGGCGTATCTACATGTACAAGCCAGTCAGCAACCCTTTCTTGTGAATGCTTTCAATTTTGGGTTCACAATGGCAAACAGAAAAATGCTATGAACTGAGCAGCATCTTCCCTGAATGTCACAGCAAAAATACTCTCGGGTGTCCAGAAAAGCACAATATTTAATATACATGTATGTTTTAAAAGTGCACTTTTTAATACACTTAGCCCCAAAAGCAAACCTGTGAACACTGGTAAAGTTGAAAAATGGAAGAAGTATGTGAGCAACGTAAGCACCATCTCATCTCATTGTTGTCAGTTTACCACATCACTGCGGATTACTAAATTCATAATAAACACAGTCAGTGTGTTTTGGTCTGGGAATCAGATAGTGATAACATAAAGATCTTAGCAGCTATTCTGTTTACGTGACTTTGCGTCAGGAACTTGAAAAGTGTGATAATAGTGTGTATGTGTGTATATTCAGTGAATGTATTGAAGTGGAACAGCTGTTGCATCTTTGTATCAAGTCTCCCATTGCAGTGTGCCTATGCAGCAATGATTTCATGCTCTGTCCCAAGGGGAGCATGTATTATGGTTCACAACTGTTGAATGTTCCTTAAGCATGTTCACTGGTGACAAGAAACTTCTCAGAATGTGTGTGAGATGTTTATCGGTGATATTTTATGGGGTCAAATATTGGAACACTCCTTTTCTAGTGACTTCAAAAACCCAAAATTTGGATTTCTTCCCAAACATGGATGGCATCCAAAAGATGTCAAATAATTTTCATTCATTATAGATCAAATGAAGTTACACAAAAAGTATCTAAGATTCATCAAATGAACTCTTGCAATACCAAAAACTACTTTCCTGAAGATTTCTAACAGACGTGAACAGCAATGCTCAATGATATTTATGAAGTACCAAAGAGCTTTTCATGCTGGAGCATAAATCCCTAGTGTTTAAATGACTCTTGGTGGACCTCATGGGTAACGCAGGAATATATGCACAGACTGCAAATGTGATACTTCCAATAGAAATCACAGTGCATCATGCACTGACTATAGTCGACACTGATTTTAGCACATTGAAGCTGTTTCCCATTGGAAAGATCTCCCTTGTGTATGTAATTGGTACTCTATTAATATGAATGGAACAGTGCATAGGATCAACATGTTATGGATTGAAAAAAAACCCCATGTCATTACAGCGATGACAGCAGGTCATCAAAGCAATGAAGCTGCATGTTTTACAGGTCGCACATGGAGCTGTATGATAAGCCTACAATTTCATCTAACAATAGGAAATTTGAGTTGTAATGTGTAATAAATCATCTGAAAAATATTCCTTCAGAAAGACAAAAAAACCAAACATACTTCTTTGTATAAATTCTGTCATCTAGATTTCTCCCCCACAGAATCTGGGTGAGGTCCACTATTGAATACCTACCCCAAACAGTCGCTAAATATGCAAATTCCTTTGCGTCTGATTATATTTGCTAAAATCTTGATCAACCCTTGTGCACCCTCTAGTCCTATGATGCATAGCAGAGTGGCCGCCATGTTCGTAAATTTCTGATATTAAAAACTGTCCAAGCCAAAAGGGGAAGGATGGGAGGGAGCTCACTGTTTGGGGTAGGTATTTAACCACTTCGTGCCGGGGCATTTTTCAACGTTGAGGATGCTGGGCCGGCATGACTATCGTTTTTTCTGTTTTCAAAATCCTTCAACAATTCATCATTCCATTTAACAGTCGTTTATAGCCACACAGAGTAATCTTTAGGCACTACTCTAAATTGACAGGTGACCTTCATTGACACCCGAATATTTCAGCCAGGCCTGCAGCCTTGTAAACAGAGTCCAGATTGTGCGGTGTTATACAACTGTCCTTTGTTCACGAACCTGACTCAGTGCACTGCTGACCTCTTTTCAATAGGGGCCAGATTAGCATGCAGCGGTGCTGTTTGGCTCATCGCTGCGGTGGTGGAGAGCTTTTGTCCCCGGTGGTAATCCGCTTGCTCTAAATACCCCAAACCCTGGTATACGGTTTCAAAATAACACTGGATTATCACCACTTTTGAGAGTGAAAAATGCCGGTAATGCCCAGCAGCCTAGTCTTTTGTTCGGAGTACGGTCTATTGTTACAGGGCCCTGTTTCCTTTGTCCGAGTTCGGAGACCCCGGCCACACATATAAACCATACGGCTCCGATTTCGGAGTCCCCGGCTGGTAGTGGTTAATAGCAGACCTCACCCACGTTTCTGTGGAGAAGAGTCTTCTGCTTTCATCCTACCCCAAACAGTCACTAAATATGCAGAGGAGCACAGTTCCCTTGGCGGGGGTGCAGCGAGGACAAACTATAAAGTGTGCACAGGAAGATATAAACCTTAAGGATCATAGTGCTGACTAACCAGGTACTGGAGCTGTTGGGTAGCTCCAGAGGTGGACTGCCCTGATGAGGAGCTCTTCTGTGTCCCTTTGAAAGACATCGGTGAGGTAGCATGTGGTGAACGTAGATGGAGTCTTCCAGCATGCCGGCTTACATATCTTCTCCATCAGCACGCCCTGGGAATTAGACCCATGCTGATACTGCCCAGACATTATGATGAGGCCCTGGTGAGGCGTTGAGTTTGATTGTCCAAGGACTGTGGCAAGTCCTGGTTGGCAAATTTGATGGCTGAAACTGCCAAACTAGCTATAGTGTCTCTGGTTGCAGCTTGGTAAAGCTTTATCATAGTTATGAAGAGCTCCAATGTTGTACTTCTGAACTTTCTGGTTCTGGGTAAGTCCCATTTAAGTGTTTGCACTGAGCACCATGACTGTTGTCTGGGGTCCCAATGTGTTTAGTAATGTCTGACACAAATATATCAGGAGGGTGGAAGGAGACTGACTGGTTTTTAGTAAGGAATCCCATCACTGGGATGAAACAAACACTGTGGGGTTCCCATCAGATAAAGCCATCAGTGATGGACAAGGCTTTTAGTTGGCTCAGCGTGAGGTATTAACTGCCAATAGAAATGCCACTTTCACCATCAAGTTGATTAATGATGCTTTGCTGAGGGGCTCATAGGAGGGACCAGCAAGTAGTTGAAGGACAGCTGACAGGTCCCAGGAAGGAATTAGTCTCTTTGTAAGAGGACGCTCAAGAAACATTCCTTGGAGGTGTTTAGGGGCTATTTGGAAGGACACGCTGAACGAACACACCACGAAGAGGGTACCTTGGGTCAGTGTTGTCTGAGGAAGGGAAGTCAATGGGGGAAGCACATTGGGTAGCTGTGACAGCAGACGGTAGCTACATGTGATTGCTGACTGCAGTTCTGAGTTACCTGGAAGCAGGAAAGAGTCAGTTACTTCATTTCTTGGCGTTTCAATTGGAACCCCACAATGTTTGTCACGCCATGAAACAGAGAACTGTTTACTCCTTGTGAAGACATATACTAGGAACCTGCTTAAATGAGGCTTCAAGGTTTGAAAGACATGAATAGAAGGTGTCTATCCTGGCTGATTCTGGCAGAATTGTCAGGATTAGGGGTAACAGAGAGGGGTGTCCAGCGAACAACCATGTTGAAAAAAAAAGAGTTTGTCTGTGACCCAGACCTGTAGGTGAGGGAGTCCGGTGCAGAACAGTAACTAGATGTTCTCTGTTGAGTCAGGGAGGTCAATATGCAGACTGTCAGGAACCTCAAAAGACTGACTCAGTCATGTGGTGATGCAGAGTCTGCTCTGCTGGGTTAACCCTTCTCTAAGAGCAGACATCTGTGAAAAGGGTTGCTAGCTTCAGAATAAGGGTTGCCTTGTACGTAAAAACACTAAAGTAAACTCCAGCCTCATCTGTACGTCTGCCTACAGAGAACCAGTTGCAAAGGTGTTTGATTGTGGAAAGAGCTAGCGGTCAAGATTAGGTGGTAAAAAATTTGCCAAGGTCGGCACCCCTAGGACACTGACCGAGTGACAGGGTTGAAACCAAAGATCTGCAAAGCGGCACAAGATGGCGAACTTCATCGTGAATACACGTAAAACGTTGTAATCGCACCGGTGCCATAGATATATAGCAATAGATACGCCATTAATGCACAGGCGCAGGCGCCACATGTACCTGGTGAGTTTGCCCCCAAGCATTACTGTAAACTGCGCGGGCGTATCGCTTGCTCAAAAAGCGCCCATGGTAATTAAATCTTTTGGACAGAGTTATTCATCTTGCACCTTCAGCGCTATACGATCTTTGGTCAAAACTCAGAAGTTCCTCTGTTGTAGATGAATTAGAGGGACTTGTGTTCCAGTGGGTGGACTGAATGTGAAGTAAGACAATTTCAGATCCACCATCAAAGTTTGGGTTGAATCTGACTGGGGTTGAGTGGCAGTAAAAGGAACCCTAGTAACATATTATAATTATTGACAGAGATAAGAGTTTGATAATGAAGAATCTGCAAATATACTTCCAGGGTGCCCCTTGGAGAAGCCCAGGATTATGGGATGACAAGGAGCATGTAGAATCTACAAGCAGTGTAAAGTTGTGGATTCAAACACCCACATGGAGGGGAGCCTGCCTGGAGTCGCTGTTGTCTGTTTCATGCCTGGGTGCTCCTGATGATGAAATCTTAGACATTGATGGCTCAGGGTCTGCGGGTGGGGTGCGGACTCATTTAGTGCCCACCTCTGTGACCAGTTACTGGTATTTGGAAGGTTGCACACAGTGGGCTGGTTGTTCATAGTTTAGTTTCATATTAACCGGGATAGCCCCAGAGAATGGTGGGAAGTCAGCCTGGATAGTGCACACCTCTGTTTCACACTTTGGTGCTTGGCTACCTATGTTGTGGTCTGCATTGTGCCTGCATGGCCCATATTGCATCCACCAGGACCGCACCAGATGATAAGGCAGCTAGGGAGCAGCCTGGTAGCATGTAGCATCTACCCACACCTGGATGCCCACGATGACGAGCGATTGAGGACGGCGGTTCAAGGCATTGGTCACTCAGCGGGGCTGGCGCATGGGCAGCGTAGGGTCGCTGTCAGAGCTCAGCCAACTTAGGTCTTGTATTTATGTGCAAATGTTTTTATCTCCAGTTTTGAATACCAAATGAAGTAAGAGGGCTATTTCTTTTCATTCTGCTTAACTTCCTTTACATGTAATTAGCATTTTGGGCTTTTGGTTTCGTGGGTTTGAGTTGTACCAGGGGGGAACAAAGGTAAGTTATTTCTTAAGCCAAGGAGGTCTTTTGTTTGGATGAATGCTTGTGCTGGGTGTGTGTGCAAGTGGTGGATGCAGTGGTATATAAAAGAAG